CCTGGGCGCGCTGGACTATGTCACCGCGTGCCGGCTGCGGCCGGAGGAGGCGCTGCTGGCCGCCAAGGCCTACGTGCCCTGGAACCACCGCGGGCTGCTGCGGACCGTGCTGCGGGAGGAGGGCCGCAGGGTGCTGCAGCGCGGGCCGGAATGCCGCCCTGCGAGCGCGCGGGGCCGCCGGAGCCAGGCTGCGCAGAGGGCCCGTACCGCCGAGCCGGAAGGGTAGGGACCAGCCCCGCGCGTCCGGGCTGCTGTTCCGTGCTGACCTCCTGCCGGGGAGCGAGGCTGCGTTTCTCCCATTTTACAGATGCGTAAACCGAGGCAGAGTGGCTGGGCGGTCCCCCTGAGCATCGCTGGCCGGTTTAGCTCCAGGGCTCAGATTTTAGAATCTTCAGTCCCAAACGAAAAACTAAAACTTGCACTTCATTCCAGTTATCGTTTCTTTCTCTGCATATACGTGAAGTATCTCACAAACCTGAGTGTGTGCTGTGTATGCAGTTTGTATCCCGCTGGGTTTTTTTACTCTGTGGATTATGAACATTTCTTTTGTTGCTAAATAGGTTTCAGGACAGCGCAATGTCCCATCCCGTGAAAGTGCCATTATTCCTTCAGACGGTCCCAGATTTTTGCTCTTAGTTATAAGGTGGCGTGAAGAAAACCCCGTCTCCACTATGCTTTGTCCTTAAGATGGACACAGACGCGGCGTCGCCTGGTCAGGGAGCCCTTCCACCTGCAGTCCCTGACCTGCCCATCTGCCCACCTCCACCTGCAGTCCCTGACCTGCCCAACTGCCCACCTCCACCCCTGGTGCTCGTTTTGCAAATTCTTGCCAGCGGGTGGGAGGTCTCCAGCTGTTTTGGTTTGCACTCCTCTGATTGCTGGAGGTGGTGTGCTAGCAAAATTAAAAGCACTGAGTCTAGGGGGCCCCCTGGGGGGCAACTTTGATGTCAGCCCCCCCACACACACAGACACACACACACACACACTCTCTCTCACACACGCGCACTCGCGCACACACACACACGCGCGCACACACACACACACACACACACACACACACTTCCTCCCTCTGCCTGCAGTTGCATAATTCGCATTGCTTTGATTTGCGGGTGAAGAGGAACTTTTATTTATGTGATTTTGGGTCCTTTGTATTTGGTCCGTGTGGAAATTGTCAAACGTGAGGCTCTGGCCCTTTTCCCAGTGGTGGTATATTAACAGTCCCACGTGGACACCAGGAGGATCACAAGTGCAGCCTGTGAGTTATTGCGTCCTGTCAACAAGCAACACACCCCTGAGCCCAGCAAGGCCAAATTGTTAATACTCATTTTTGCAGAGAAGGAAACTGAGGCAGGGTCTGCTGGGGTCAGCCTCAATCCCACCGTCGGTAAAATGCCTGCCCCACAGCGTGTTGGGACGATCAAGTGAGAGGGAAGGCCGAAGGCTGTATGTTGGGAAGGGCAGCGTGGGTCTGAGGACGGTCCTTCCAGAGGGACATGGGTCTCTGCAGTCCAGCAGGAAGGAAGCTGCCCAGGCCAGGTGCACGGGGACAGGATTTACCTGTGGCCTAAGCACGTGGGCAGGTAAATGGGGTGCAGGGAAGGGGCCCCCACCCTGAGCCGCTCTCTCCACAGGGATGCCCATGGCGTGTACCAGCTAGCCACACTGCTGATGGAGCTGGACACAGAGGACGAGGCCTCACGTCTCCTGGCAGCGGACGCCCTGTACCGTCTGGGCCGCCTGGATGATGCCCACAAGACCCTGCTGGTGGCCCTCTCCCGGAGGCCCCAGGCAGCCCCTGTGCTGGTGCGGCTGGCCCTGCTGCAGCTGCGGAGAGGCTTCTTCTATGATGCCAACCAGGTGAGGAGGCCCAGGTGGGTCACAGAGGGCGGGTGGAAATGGGCCACATCTCTGTGAAAGGCACCAGGCCTCCCATGGCCCTTTCTCTGCATCCCTCAACCTGGACTTTGGAGCAGACAAACTTTGTTCAGCCCCAACTCTGCCACTGCGACAGGCCCTCACCTGTCTGACCCTTGGTCTCCTCCTCTGTGCCTTGCAGGTTGTTGTGGGAATTAGCCGGAGCAGGTATCCCCGGGCCTGGCAGGTTCCCTGCATGCAGTGGGTTCTTTGTATTTGCTTTTGCTGTGGTTACGAAGAAAAGGGGCCAAGGATCAGCTGTAGGCCAAGCTTCTCCGTAGACTAGGCTTGGACGTGACCTTCCTCGGGGGGGTAGCAGTGGGGCCCCCGTCTTCGACCCGGTCTGCCTCTGAGGCCTTTCCACTCCCAGGAAAGGCAGAAGTTCACCTGCCTCGGGTGTCATGGAGGCTTCATGTTTGAACCTGGTCAGCAGGTTACATTCCAGGGGGATTTCAGGCTTAGGGACCCCGGGCTGCGAGACCTGTGAGCTTCTTCCTTCCGCTCTGACCTGGCTTGATCTCCTGATCTCGTCCTGCGTGGAAAGGGAGGGCGGGAAGGATGCCCTGGAACCGCCTTCCTGCTCGGCTCGGGACTGGCGTGTGCACCCGCGGCCGGCAGGGGGCAGCACCGGGTCTCCTTGGTGGGGAGCAGGCCTGTGCCGGGCTTTGGTGCCTTCTGAGCAACTCCATGGAGCCCCCGTCACTTTATGATGTGAAAGCCCCTTCCTCAAGCTTCTCATCCGGCCCACTGAGGGCAGCAGAGGAGCAGGCTCCAACTGCAGCCCAGAGGTCCCACCTCCCTGTCCTCGCCCTTTCCTGTGCTCCAAGCTGGGGACACACAGTCCATGCCCTCTGTGAACCACCCCCAGACTATGGGGAGACAAAAATACCCCCAAAAGCTCAGGTGGCCATGCTGCAACCCATGGCAAGCCATCTCGTGCTCAGAGTAGACTGAAAGCCACCCAGGCTCACGGAAACAGAGAGAGGGCCTGGTGGGGGTGGGGCGTCCTGGCAGTGGGGGCTGACATGGGAGGATGGTGGCCGCGACCCTGCTCCTGCCCCTGCAGCTGGTGAAGAAGGCGATCCAGTCGGGGGACATGGCCTGCCTCCAGCCCACCCTGGACGTCTTCCACCATGAGGACCGGCAGCTGCTGTGGCGTCACTGCCATGCACGGGCCCTGGCCATCCTGCGGGCGCGGCCGGCCGGGGCCGACAGCAGAACCCACACCAGGGAGGCCATCGCCTACCTCTCTCTGGCCATCTTTGCAGCAGGTAGGAGCTGCCCACCTGGCCCTGGGGGTCCAATCCTGTGCCAGGTACATGGGGGGATGAGGAGCCTCTGCTGTGCTGGGGGTTGGGGACATGGGGGTCTGAGAACTTGCTGCACAGATGCATGTGCTGTGGGAGCACCCATGGCGTGGATGGGCTGCTCACTGAGGACAGCTCAGGTGGAGGCCCTGGCTGCCCAAGTGAACATATCAAGGCCTGAGAGAGGGGTCAGCACCAGCTGAAACTGGAGCTGTACCCTCCCCTGGCCCTGAGGGTAGAAGGTCCTCTCCCAACCGGGCCTCTCCCTCCAGGGAGGGGAGGCGAGGTCCCAGCTCCCCTAAGCCCTTCCTTCAAACACTGACAGGCTTCGTGTGTGCACCTGGCCTCCCACTTGGCCGAGCCACCCCGCCACACCCCGTCCTGGACACTGGACCCTGGGGTGCTGCCCGCATCAGCCTCTGGGCCTGGGGAGTGCCCTGTGCATACTGGAGTTGGGCGTTCTTAGTGCTGTGGGGCAGGCACGGGGTGCTCAGAGGGAAGGGACTTTCCCACGGACTCTCAGCGAGTTCCTGGGGTACAGGGAGTTTGACAGTGTGGACCCGGGATCAGACGGCTGGGTGGGCTTCTGCACCTACACTTACTGGGCACCTCATCTCCCTTAGAGTGGGCGGTAGGGCAGCCCGCGTGGGATGGCCGTGGGGATTAACTGAGCTAGTTCTTGGACAGCGCTGGATGGCGCCTGGTGCAGAGTGCAAGCCCCACACGCACTGGCGGGGCAGATGTGGCCCTGAATGGCCTGCAGGACCCAGCATGTTGTTCCCTGTCACTGGACAGACACCCCCAAGGGGCATGGTGGTGGCATTCTCTTTAAGGAGGGGCTTCTATGCCCAGAATTTGGAGGGCTCCTCTCAGGCTGCCCCACATCCAAGTCTCACAACTTCCGCTTCTTGCCATTCTTTTTTACATTCTAAGACGTTGTTGCAGAGCGATTGGGGGGAGGGGGAGAGGGGGGAGGAGGAGGAAGGGGGCGTGGTCAAGGCTCGTGGCACCCCCCTCATTCTGGCCGGGGAGCCCACGGGGCTTCCAGCGGTGGTTCGGTTGTGGCTGGGCTGGATGCAGATGTGGGGTGGTCGTGGCTGAGGCTGCCGCCCCCTCCACCCTGGCTCGGGAGCCTGGGCAGCTTCTGTCAGCAGCTCAGCGGTCGTTGCCAGGATGGATGCAGAAGTCAAGGGGGCATGGTTTCCTGCCATTCTGTGTCCTGACCCCAGGACCCTTTCCCTCCTCGCCCCTCACCTGGCCTCACCTCAGGTGCAGCTGCAGTGCCCCCTCCTCCCAGACGCCATCCACCCTGGCTGGGCAACCTGTGTGTGTGTCTTGGTGCCCAGTGGTGTGTGTTCTCCCCAGGTGTGACCTGAAGCTTGTACACACTCTGCCCAACCCAGGTTGGGCACCAGGAGAGATGCTGAATGAGGGGCCCAGCCACAGTCATGCCCTGACACCACCCCCTCCTGCAGGGAGCCAGGCCAGCGAGTCCCTCCTCACCCGAGCCCGCTGTTATGCATTCCTGGGCCAGAAGAAGACGGCCATGTTTGACTTCAACTCAGTGCTGCGGGGCGAGCCGGGCAACGTGCAGGCACTATGTGGACGGGCACTCGTGCACCTGGCCCTGGACCAGCTACAGGTGCCGGGACTGGGCAAGCAGGGGGCAGGGGGATCCAAGAGGGAGGGAGCAGTCAGGCCACATGAGCAGCAATATGCCCATCCACACCCCACCTGCACCTCGGGGCACAAGAGCCTCAACCTCACAAACCCAGTTTCGGAGAGCCCTGCCTTCTGTCTGGAGTCCCCGTGCCTCCCAGCCTCAGTCTGAATGAGTGGGTGTGCAAGCCCTCCGAGGTACTAGAGGGCCTCCCTAGCTTAAAGTAATTCCTCAGGGGTGTTGGCAGGAGATGTCCCACCAGCTGCATGGGTGCGGGCCACCTGGACCCCTCTGTTGAAAAGGGCTAGAGGACCTGCTCAACAGGAATAAGTGAGTCATGTCTGCCACGGCACAGGGACAGAGACCCTGCAGCTCTGATCTGAACTCAGTTCACCTGCTTTTCAAGTCAGACATCTATACATTTAAGACTTTCTGCAGAAACTGCTCCAGTTCAAAATGAAAGGATCCCATTCAGATGGGTGAGACCTGGACGCTGGGAAGACTATTTCTGTTTTGTTTGTTTATTTATGGACATCTCTTTTTAGCCACTGTGCTGTAAGTGACATGCTGTCACCCTGGGGACCCATGTCACCCTGCCCTGCTCCCTGAGCACTGGCACTGGAGCCCAGAAGAGTGGGGTCCAGGTCCTGTTAGGTAACCTCAGCCAAATCATTGTACCTCTGTGTGCCTCAGTTTCCTCCTCTGTAAAAGGTGAGGGTTGCTGAACAACCAATAGATCAAAGAAAAAACCATGAGGGAAATTAGGAAATACTTAAGA